CATTCCTGGGATTCCCTGGATGGGGGAAGAGTGAGAAGGCCTTTGGGGGAGAGCTCTAGAAAGAGCACCCCAAGGAACTGGGATTTGAAAACCATTAGCGATAAGAGGTTGAACTGGCCGGTCCCAGGTTACTGGTCAGACAAGCAGAGCGGCCCAGGGCCCTGGCCCCAGGGGAAGCATCACAGCGCATGCTGGGAGAGGCTGCTCCAGGCCACTGGGCAGGCTGGGCGCTGGCGTAGGGAGAGGCCGGCACAGGCCACTGGTTGCACTGGGGCCATCTGGTTGATCGGCGAGGCAAGCCCAGGCTACTGGCCACGGTGGGAACGAGTCCCCAAGGCCACTGGTCAGAATGCAGGGGAGAAGGTGCACGACGGACTGGTGCGACCCCCGCTCAGGACACTGGCTAGCTGGTCGGGCAGGTCCCCCGCCGCGGTGCGCTTCGCCTAAGCGGGGCAGCCCGGGGCTTGGGGGCAGAGGGAGCGCCGCGCCAGGCGGTGCATTGGGAGGTCCACTGCGGGCAGTGGGAGGTCCTGGCTGGGCGCCCAGACCGGGGGGAACCAGGAGGGGCCGGGAGGCGGCCCCCGGGCCCCAGGGCGCCCCGCCTGCTGCTGCTCGCGCTCCTGCTGGCGGCGCACCGAGGTATGGCCTGGGCCGAAAGCAGGGTGAGACTAGGCGGTGGCCCCTTGCGACCTCGGGAAGGCGTGAGGAAAGCTTTCACCGACCCGGGGGAGGAGAGATTTGGGTGTCTTGGGAGGTACCCCTGCCAACGAGAGCGCTGGGGACAGCCGGGCTGGAGAGAGCAGGGAAGGGGAGACTATCAGGCGGTAGATCTAAGAGACCTGAGAAGTCGGTGCTCAGGACCTGGACTCCAGGTCCCCAGACCCTGCTCCCTCGGACCCAGGCGTCGGGGGACCAGAGCACCTTCCCCCCAGAACACAAGTCCGACAGCTCAGCGCTCTCCCCTCAAAGGTTCTCAAGTTTGAGAGATTCGGAGACCCCCGTCCCTCCCCCCAGGGAAGCTGGTGACTGAAAACCAGGATTCATACATGTTTGAGGGCTTTCCCAACCGAATTCAGAGTCTAGACTCTGCCAAGAACCCGCTTCCCTCGGGGCCAGAACTGGAGCACCAGCCCTAGGCGCGAGCGAACCAAAGTGTTTCCGTGTGACCCTTCCGCTTCCTGGGGCCCAGATGAAGCCCCACACCTGCGTGGTGGTGGGACAGGAGGCGCCCTGAGGGGCTGGGGACCTGAGAACACCGGGCGATGAGCAAGACCGAGGAGAAGGGACCTCGCTGGCTTACCCTGCTGTGTGCAGCGCCCAGCCAGCCCAGCCACCAGCCTGGCCCCCACCTCCTCCCTGGGGACAGGCGGGGGCCAGAGGTGGGTGCCTGGGAATCTGGCCTGCTGGCACGAGCGTGGTAAATAGTGGGTCTCCGAGGTTAAGGCTGGGCCCGGCTGGGTGGGAAAGGGAAGGAGATTCTAAGAACGGAGGGCTACGTCAGGGTGTCAGCCCAGAAGGCCAGAGGGCGTGCTGGCTTCGCGACAAGAACTGCCCTAGCTGCAGGGACCCTGAACAGAAAGCCCGGCCGGCCTCCTAATCCCCCAGGACCAAGGAGTCCAGACCCCCAGGTCTCTTACCCCTCAGGCCCCAGGACCTGGGCCTCATCTTGGTCCTGCTTGAAGGACTTACTTTACCCCCTTCGCTGTTCTATCAGAGAGACAGGGGGGCCTTGGGGCGTGTTAGGGGGCTCTGGCGCCAAGCCGGGCAGGTCTCAGCCAGCCTGTCCCTCCCACATTCCTGAAACCTGCCCAGCCCTGTCCCCCTCACCACCCCCACACCCTCATCCCGCCCCAGCTCCAAACCCAGACGCAGTCCACACCCTAGCCCCCTACTCACGAGAGGGCGAGGGCGAGAGGGCGAGAAACTCCTCGACCTGGAGGAGGAGGCGGCAGACTGAGAGAGGAGAGAGAGACACAGAGGCAGAGACAGGCACTGAGAGATGGAGGCCTAGGGTGAGATACTCACAGGGTGGAGAGATGGAGACCCATTGGAGAGAGACATTTATTCCACATCACTGTGCCAGGCCCTGCCCGCAGGGCTGGAGGCACAGGGATGAGGCTGGCCTGGCCCTGCCCTGGAGGAGTGTCTGCTCTGGTTAGAGAAACAAGGGCGGACACATACCCTGTGAGCACTGAACGGAGGCCACCAGGCCTGTGCAGCCCCGGGCAGGGGTCTGGGGCTCGGCGAGTGGAGGGAAGAATGGAGAGGAACACACTTGGGGTCTGAGGCTCAGAGATGCAGAGATGAGAGGTGGAGGGAGAGAGGGCAGAGTCTGAGGGAGAGAGGACTAAAAATCTGGGCCCCTGGGTTTAGGGGAAGAGGGGCAGGGGGCCTGGATCCCTGGATCTGGGGGAGGAGGAGTTGGGGGTTCAGATCCCTGAGTCTGAGGCAGGAGGGACTGGGGGGCCCTGGGCAGCGAATGAACCAAAGTGTTTCCATGTGAGGGCTGATGCAGAGATGAGAGGTGGAGGGAGAGAGGGCAGAGTCTGAGGGAGAGAGGACTAAAAATCTGGGCCCCTGGGTCTGGGGGAAGAGGGGCAGGGGGCCTGGACCCCTGGGTCTGAGGGAGAAGGGATGGGGGCCCAGACCCCTGGATCCGAGAAGGACCTGGGCCCCTGGGTGTGAGGACGAGGGCCATCCTCCTGGGCCCAGGGTGGAGGGACTGTCTGCGGGATCCCTGGGTGCAGCAGCTGTAGCGCAGTTTCCGTCCTGAAGGTGCCCGGGCCGAGGTCCGCGTGTCTGCGACCCCCTTGGTGGAGGTGATGCGAGGACAGTCCGTCACCCTGGACTGCACCCCCGTGGGAGTCAAGGGCCATTACGTGCTGGAATGGTTCCTTGTGAGTGCTGGGGCAGGAAGCTGGGGGCGGCGGGTGCTGGGAATCGGGTACAGCAGACCACGGACGCTCATCCCTCGTCAGAGCCCAGAGGACCAGAGGCATTGACAAGAAATGGCCGAGCTGCATGTCCATTTCACAGACGGGGAAACTGAGGCCCACCGAGGGGAAGGGACGCTCCAAGTTCCAGGTGTCTGGGCCTGGCTGAGTCGAGACCGAAGACGGCCTCCTTCAGAGAGGGCTGGCACTCGATCGAGACAGACACCCCGAAGAGCCAGAGCCTCAGGGGCAGCACTAAAGAGGAGCGAACATGGAGACGGGGAGGGACAGAGAGGAGAGACAGGCTGAGTGAGACGGAGGAAGAGAGAGGCAGAAAGGGGGAGTGGGGGCAGGAGGGCGGGAGAGGAACAGAGGGACCAGAGGAAACGGAGGACAGGGGCAGGCCCCCAGTGCAGCAGAAAGGGCAGGGGAGACCCGGGTTGCCCAGCCCAGCCGAGCCCATCTTGTCTGCCCACCCTCAGACCGACCGCTCCAGGGCCCGCCGCCGCCTGGCCTCTGCGGAGCTGCACGGCTCGGAGCTCCAGGGCACCGTGCATGACACTCAGAGCCGCAGCCCCCCATACCAGCTGGACTCCCAGGGGCGCCTGGTGCTGGCTGAGGCCCAGGTGGGCGACGAGCGGGACTACGTGTGCGTGGTGAGGGCCGGCACGGCGGGCACGGCTGAGGCCACCGTGCGGCTCCGTGTGTTCGGTGAGCATCCACGGGTACCCCTGGGAGGGGGCGGGCTGAGGGCTCTGCGGGGCCCCTGATGTGACCATCTTCCCATAGCAAAACCAGAGACCACGGAAGTCATCCCCAACAAAGGGACGCTGTCTGTGATGGAGGACTCTGCCCAGGAGGTACCTCGGGGGCGACCTTGGTTCCAGGGTGGGAGCACCCGGGGGCCTGAACTCCTGGCTCCTGCGGGAGGAGGTCTGAGAAGGACTGGGGGTCAGGCTCCCGGGCTCCGTCCCGTCTCTGCACCCGAGTCGGGAGAACCCCTGAGGGAACAGGGTCCGGACTTCGCAGCCCCGGCCGAAGCCCAGGCTCATGCCTGTCTGCTCAGATTGCCACCTGCAACAGCCGGAACGGGAACCCGGTCCCCCAGATCATGTGGTATCGGAGCGGGCAGCACCTGGATGTGCCCATGGAGATGAACCCGGGTGAGCGGCGTGGCCTGAGCTGGGCGGGGCGGGCAGGGACAGGGCTGGCTGACGGCCCCTCTCTCCTGCAGAGGGCTACATGACCAGCCGCACGGTGCGGGAGGCCTCGGGCCTGCTGTCCCTCACCAGCACCCTCTATCTGCGGCTCCGCAAGGCCGACCGGGATGCGATGCCAGCTTCCACTGCACCGCCCGCGCCGACCTGCCGGCGGCCAGCCACGGCCTCCTGGACAGCCCTGCCTTCCGCCTCACCCTGCACTGTGAGTCCTCACTGGCCCTCCTCTCCTCTGCTTCATGCTGAAATGTGAGTTGGTGCTGACCTCTGACCTCTGACCTCCATTGGTAGTACGAGCCCCATTCTGGCTCTGACCCCCACGCAGCACCCAGAAGTCCATGAGGCTTCAAGACTAAACGTGTGCTCCAATCTCTTACACTGAACTGGGTCTCAGATGACATCTGACCCCAACTCCTACTGACCTGTTACCCATGCTGACCTCTGACCCTTGACCTGTACCTCTGCTTATCTCCCCCTCTGACACTCTCTGGTGCCCGATCTCAGAGTAAATGTGAACCTGAGCCTTGAAGCCAAGACTAGCCTTTGGCCAACTGCAGCCGTGCCCTGGACACAGGGCTGACCCGGCTCCCTCTCCAGCCTTGACCTGTGCCCTCACCATGGCTCCCGTCTCCCCTGCCCTTCCCTCAGACCCCACAGAGCACGTGCAGTTCTGGGTGGGCAGCCCGTCCACCACAGAGGGCTGGGTGCGCGAGGGGGACTCCGTGCAGCTGCTCTGCCGGGGCGACGGCAGCCCCAGCCTGGACTACACGTTTTTCCGCCTTCAGGTGACCCTCCTGGGATCCCTTGGGAACCCCTGCCCCTGACCGCAGTGACTTCCTAACCTGCATTGCCCTGATGCCTGACTGGGTGGCCCCTGCTTATCCCCGCCTGCCCTGGCACCTGCGCACTAAGTTGGGGCCCTCTGACTTCTGATCTGAGCGCGTCCTGACGTAGCGTGATTCTGCCTGGGTCCCCCCTGGCCCTGACTTGTGGACTCTGCCCTGTGTGACCCTAACTCGGTGAGCCCTGACCTAGCATCACCCTACTGGGCCGGGATCACTCCTGAGCCTGCCTCCTCCTCCCCGGTCCCCCAGGACCAGCAGGAAGAAGTGCTGAACGTCAACCTGGAGGGGAACTTGACGCTGGTGGGGGTGCGTCGGGGCCAGAGCGGGCCCTACGGCTGCAAGGTGGAGGACTACGATGCCGCCGAGGGCGTGCAGCTCTCCCAGACCCTGGAGCTGCACGTGGCCTGTGAGAGCCCTGGGAGAGGGCAGGGCGGGGCCCTGGCAGCAGCTGCCCTCCGCCCTCACCCCCACAGCCCTGCCGCAGCTCTGTCCTGAATACTCTGCCTCCGCCCTTTCTCTTCATTTTCATGGTATCTGCCCCTGTTCTTTCCCCGGGGTCCCTGCCTCCACTTCCTCCAGTCTACCCCGCGTGCTAGCTAGAGAGCTCTTTCCAAAGCACAGAACCTGGCCCTCCCCTACTTAGACCCTGCCAAGGCGCTGAGAGAGCCCTGGGGGGGGGGAAGCCCAGGTGCCTCAACATAGCTTTAAGACCCACCTGTGAACTTCACCTCGGCGCACCCAAGCCCTCCCTCACTCCTTCCTTAACCCCCCTGCTCTGCCTTCCAGTTCTCGCCGGTTTCCTGGGTCCTGGGCATCTAAGAACCCTTCTCAATTTTCTTTCCCCAAAGCTGGGGACAGGCTCTGTTCTCGGTTCCCCTTCCTGGGGTGGGCCCTGTGTCAGATACTGGGGACACAGCTGTGAACAAGGCGGGCCAGGGCCCTCCGATTGAACAGGGCCGAGGGGAGACATGGTGTGCAGCACACGAACACTCGTAGCACACGGCTCTGCTGCTGGGATGGAGAAACTAGTGAGGGATCAGCGCTATTTTAATTTTTTTTAAATTATTAGTTTATTGCACTTTATTTATTTTATTTATTTTATGTATTGATTTAATTTGACGAGAGAGTGACAGAGTGAGAGAAAGAAAGAGAGCGGGAAAATGAGAAAGTAAGCTGCCAGGTCTGGGACTCGAACCACAGTTGGCCATGTGGGAGCCAGCTCCCTTAACCACCAGTCCAGAGTGGGCATTGCTGTCGATGCGGGTTGCTGCGGTCTATAGCCCCGGGAGGCACATTCTGACTGGAGATCTGTGAACAGCGAGTTTCTGGGGCGCACCACGTCTGCTGGGGGTATGGAGGTGAAGAACGCAAGGCTGGCCAGAGAAGGGGGCTCCACTTGGGTGACGTTCACAGCTGTCCCCAGTGGGGGCGTGGGGACGGGGCCTTTTATCCCTGTGCCAACAGTCATTGGATGCATGCTGCCCAAGGGAGGGGGCACGACCTTGGGCAAGGGGCTCTCACAGCTGCGGCAGTCCCCAGGAAGGGCTGACAGCTGAGGGCCGACAGCTGTCATAGTCTTCGGCAGCTGGGGAAATAAACCCTCCCCTGTCAGAGGGGAGACCCTGGCATCCGTAACAGAGGATCAGGAAAGTCTCATGCGAAGGAAATGTCTGAGTGAGAAAGCAAAGAGTAGACTCGGACTCGCAAAGAGCTGGAAGAGCATCCCAGGGGCTGGAAGAGCATGCGCAGAGGCCCTGCAGCAGGGCCCAAGGTGGTGTACGTGAGAAAAGCAGCAAGCGAACGGGGTAGCTAGAGTTGAGTGGGCAAAAGAGGAGGGTAGGAGATTGTCCACAAGGTGGACAGGGCCAGACCAGGTTGGATCCTGCAGGCTGGGTCAAGGAGCTTGGCCAAGGGTCCTGGGATTCACAGCAGGCTTTTAAGAGAAGAGAACTAACCAGCGTGTGTTGAAAAGATCCCTCTGACTGCTCAGGGGAGGGTGGACTGGTCAGAGGGGGAGAGAAGTAGGAGGATCCATAAAGGGCAGATAGTTAATGAGAAGGATGGCAGAGGAGGTAGGAGGGAGGAGAGGGCAAGGGTTTGGGTGGCAAGTCCCAGAGGAACACCACACACCTCCAAGTTATTCATGAACTTCAGGCTCAGAGCTCTGGAGGGAAGTGGCCAAGTTTGGCATTGTATTTTCTTTTTCTTTCTTTTTTTTTTTTTAATAATTATTTAATTCTATTTATTCATTCATTTATTTTTGACCAGAAAGACACAGAGAGAGAGAGAGAAAGTGAGAAAGCAAGCCGCCGGGCCCGAGACTTGAACCATGGTCGGCCATGCGTGAGGGTCCAGCGTCTAAACCACCATGCCACCTGCTGGTCCTGGCATTGTATTTTCTTTATTCCTATCTCTCTATCTCTCTCTCTCTCTCTCTCTCTCTCTCTTTTTTATAAAGTTTCATGTAGGGCTTGTGCTCTCACCAGAGAGAGAGATCAGCTTCTGAGGGGATGGCCCTGCCGCAATGCCTTCTCCACGCTCCTCTGGGGATCTTGAGCACGCACACACACACACAGCATGTT